TCAGTTTTTGATCATATAAAGTTGTGGTCCAGCCAATGGCTGGATGGAAACATGACAGGGATTTCAGTTTTTTGAGCCTATGCAGTTTTTAATGTCACCACAGCAGGATTCATCCTCTGCCCATTTGGTTGGCATGATTGTTGGGGAAAATCAGGTTTAGGTCAAGGAGAGTGATTTCAAGGTCAGCTTGGACCTTGGCACTTTTGAACTCCCTCACCCTAAGATAACTAAACCACATTCATCCTCTCTTGTAATCTCCTGCACAGATTAATACTAGCCTTTTGTGTGAGTCATAGGAAAAGGGGAAGAAACTGACTATGGGTGTCGGAAGCTTTAACTTCCTCCTCTTACCATAAAATAAGAGGCCACCATTTCATTTCATAATTCATTTCAATCTGTGGTTGCACCTGAAAGATTGACCCTGCACAGATTCTGCTAAATTCAACATCAGATTTATTCCTGTTAAACAAAGAGCACTGGTAAATCTAAGAAGAAACCTAAAGGCATCAGAGTTTGGGTAAGTCAACAATTATTCTTTAAAGGCCATCAAAGAAGGTTGCTTCTGTGCGCTCTATGATCTAAGACTGAAAAGAGTGACTGAGAAGATACATTGCTCTAAGACATGATTAGGTTAATCATGGCTTCTTCCATAAACTACAATTGATTCAATTTGCACAAAGTAAACCTTGATGCATATGCCTCTGACATATTTCAAGCAAAGGCAGAGCATGGAGCATTTGGGGGAACATATTGGGCAACAGTACAAACATGATCCTTGTTGGTGAAAATATCCAATAAAGAAAATGTTTGAATTTATTAATAAGAGGGAAGCTGCACAGGGCATATTGCCTATTTCTGGAATTAGCTTCATTGTGTTTCTTAATAGCCTCTGGTGATCTTATAGCACAGTGGTGTCAAACTGGCGGCCCATGGGCCAGAAGCGTCATCTGCAGACCATGCCCACCCCAGCCCCGCAAAGGGAAAAAAACATTGAAAAATGTCATGGGGCAGCAACGTGATTCTGTAAATTGACACCCGTGTTGTAGCTGAATCAGAGTGGTAATACAGTGGCATATTACTGCATTGACTGTGTGTTCTTTAAGGAGAATTCTATGAACATGTTCAAAATAGCATCAAAGCATTAATAAAAAAGGAAACAAGAGACTAGTTTCAACCATAAAATGAGTAAATTTAAAAATCTCCAACAACCACTTCTTCTGCACCAAACAAATTAAGTGGTAATCATTTGTGAAGTTGTTTATGTGCTATTTTCATCAGCATAAACTTTTGTTTTCACCACCAGGTGTAAATTCTTCACAAATGATGTTTGAAACAATAATTCAGTTTTAGTTTTTGATACCAAGAAAATGAATGGAAAACTTGTTTTGAAATTGACTAGGATAATAGAAGAGGCTACAATCCTGTGCACACCTATGAAGACTAACTCTTTGAATATAGGGAAGATTCCTTTTGTCTCCAGTTCAAACTGGCACAAGTATTCAAATAATTCCTAATGGGAGTTGCTATCTCTCCATTTGTTACTTATAAGCATCTTCATAGCATCATCCAGCAATAGCTGAAAGAATATAAATATTGTCTTTGTGACAATGGTTGGATTTTAGAAGCCACCAATTAATTGGGAAAGAAATAATTTTTAGCTAAAGAATAATCATACCTATATATATCAAAGTACTACATATCTTGAATAGCCAAATGTCAAAAAAGTTGGTTCCATTAGTCATAATCTCTTGATATCATGACCACCTTCAGTAGAACTAATTTCAAGGATCTCCTTCTAAACATGGTTAATTCCAGTTCCAACCCACATGAGTTATAATTATTGTTATTAACTAGAACTGATATTTGATTAATTACATTTGAATAATTATTAATTATTAATGATGCTCCTTTGCTTTTCATCTTGCCTTTAAAACATTGATAAGAAATGCATTTGATTAAGAAATATTTTTAAATCATTTCCTCAAATATCCTGCCTATTTCTCAAAGATAGGAAATTTAACCATTTTTAGAGAATTAATGGGATGAACTTAGCTTGGGGAAACTTTCAAAAGCCTAGAAACTCCTCTGTGCAATACCAGTCCAATAACAACCAACATCAGATGATCAGAAAGCTAACAAGAAAACTGAACAAATCAATTTCATTTATGGCCAAAAGGCCCAAAGGCAAGTTATACATATATCTGAATTTGGTATTAGATAAAATAGCTTGAATAAAATATTTAATAAATATTACATACAAAATTGAATCGAAAGCTAAGACATATTTATCTTTGATAGATAGCCTTGCTGTTTCCCGGTCAATGGGAAAATATTTTTTTTTTAAAGCCTAGTAATATTGAATATGGGTCTATTACAGGAACAATCTCAAAAAATGATCTAAGAGTAATATTGAGGTTAATTATCTCCAAGAGCTTGGCAAAAACACAGTAATGGTGGCTTACAATTCGATAGATGTTAGGTAAGTAGATAGCTAGACGGACAGACAGTAGATAGATAGAGCACTATATGGAGATTTTAAAGCCCAGTTTCCAGAGTATATGGATAACAACATATCTTTCATTGTATACATTTTGCTATAATACTGTATCTTACACCAAAGAATCCAGGGAGTGTATTTGGTGACACCTATCAAAACTCAGAATTTTCTATAGAGACATAACTATAACCTTTCAACTATGTTGCAATAATAACTCTGAGTCATTGTGAATAATGGTTTATGAGTTTAATTCTATGGTGTAAATTCTTCACTCTCAAAGGTGACATTCAGAGCAGCTTTATATTTGAAACAAGCTCTTATCTGATGAGCCCCCAGATTAGTTAGCACAAATCAGCAAATTTTACTACTGGCGGTAGGCTTCTGGGAAGCAACACAAAAGCCATCTGCTATAAATATAAGCATGAATTGAATACGTAAAATAGATTCAAATAGAGGATCCACTTCAAGGTACTCACCTATAAAGCCCTACATTGCTTAGGTCCAGGGTACTTGCAGACCATCTCCTGCCCGCCTCCCACTGTCCTGTTCGCTCACATAGGGCTGCTCTCCTTAGGGTACCGTCGGCCAGACAATGTCGGCTGGCGACGTCCAGGGGTAGGGCGTTCTCTGTGGGTGTTCCTACCCTCTGGAATGAGTTCCCCACCGAGCTCCGGATGGCGCCTGATCTCCGCTCCTTCCGTTGTGGCTTAAAGACTTGGCTATGTCAACAAATGGGCTGAGTTCTGATTCTGGGGTTTTATTATTTATTATTTTGATTTTAATTGGTTTTAATTAGATTCTTCTTTTATCATTGTATGTTTTTAGCTTGTGTTTGCCGCCCTGAGTCCCTTGGGAGAAGGGCGGCATATAAATATGTGTTAAATAAATAAATAAATAATAAACAAACAAACAAACATTAGGACAGGGACAGTAGGCACGCTGGTGCTCTTATGCACACCCCTTATGGACTTCTTAGGAATGGGGTGAGGTCAACAGTCTTAGGTTAAAATTTTGAGGGGTTTGGGATGAAACCACAGAGTCAGGTAGTGTATTCCAGGCATTGACCACTCTGTTGCTGAAGTCATATTTTCTGCAATTGAGTTTGGAGCGGTTCACTTATCATTTAAAATTAAAATAAAAAATGCTTATCATTTAAAATTTCCCATAATCCCTTGAAATAGCTTCAGTTATATGTTTATGGAGATTCTCATCACCATCACTCGTGTCAGGGCCTGTGGTGGCCTGAGCACTCTGCCAGCGAAAATGGGCTCCTGGGCCCTGTTTTCGGCTGCAACAGCCTCCTGTAGCCCTCTGCCAGCGAAAACGGAACTTTGTTTTCACTGGCAGAGGGCTGCAGGACGCTGTCGCGGCTGAAAATGAAGCCTGGGAATGCTGCGCGTAGCCCTCACAAGCTCCATTTTTGCTGCAGAGGCACTGAGGGCTGGACCTTTCCTGTTTTCAGGGTGGCCTTGTGGGACAGATCTAAGCACCCCGTTGACTGGATCTGGCCCGCGGACTTTGAGTTTGACACCCCTGCTCTGGATTCTAGATTCTCTAGATCTAGATCATGATGGTCTCAAAAGTCTTTTTTTTTTTTAATTCAGAAGGCAACTGGACATCTTCAAGGAAAAGTCCAGTTGCTTTTTGAAAAAAGCACTTTTGGGATAGCTTCAGTCAGACATCATGGGAAAGGGAAATTTAAAAATTTGAAGTTCACTTAACTTAAATCTGCAATTTTGTGATACCTTTAACCATGGATTGTATAACAATGCATAAGACATATTTGTTTATTTTTATTTTAATGAATGGAAGTTACAGATTAACAATGATTAATGCCATTAATTTTCTCAGCAGTAGATTCTTGTCGATTTCAGCTAGAAAAGTCTGAAACAAAAAAATATATTACAAGAAATGCAATAGTTAGGGCAAGCCATGGCCAGAGAGATCATGTCAGGGTAGTTTCTTGAAGAAGAGAGTGCTTGCAGCTGTGGGGGAAATGAAATGTCCTATGTTTGTCCTGATAAAACTAGAGTTTTCACTATCTGTCCACAGCCAAGGGGAGAGGTGTGTTTTTCCCCCTTTAGAATTGACTTGTTCACAGCTTTATTCTGTGATGCACATCTGTGCATTCTTTTAATTGCCAAGCAATCCTCTACTCCTAAATGCTAGTAATATGACAGGTTTGAAAGCTTGTGTGTGTGTGTGTGTGTGTGTGTGTGAGAGAGAGAGAGAGAGAGAGAGAGAGAGAGAGTCTGTAGGTGTGGGTGTGTATGCATGTATCAGAAGTAAGTTGAGTGACTTTGGGCTAACTCTTCTGATTTCACCTTACAATGGGTAGTTAAAAAAAATATCAATTTGTACTAGATGAGAGTGGTAGATTATGATCTACTCAATGAAGATGACTTCATCCTGCTATGGATTGATTCAGGATGATGATGATTTCTTTTGTCCCTTCTTTTAGGTTGTTTGAGATCTCCTGCCAATACTATTTCTGTCCCATTTGTCCATTGGTGGGAAAAAAATGTTTAAAAAACTGGCCAAACAGCTTACCCAAGAACTGGATTCAGATGGAAAATTGATTCCTGTGAGCAGCCTGGCACAAAATGATGGCTTTCAACTTCTCTCTTTGGTGACTAAAAAGCCATCTAGATGGCCTTGGAACAGTAGAAAGTATTCCCCAATCTCTTTCAAACTGACAGACGTACTCCAAGAAGAAGCAATAATGGAAATAGGTATTCTTGTTCAAATTAATTCATAGAGATCATTCTGGATAAACTCTGCCTGGACAGTTTTTTGGGAGCCCTAGGACCAAAGGAGAAACATAAAGGTCTCTCAGAAACCACACCCAAATTGTGCATCAGGCTCACAGATATTATACAGCCTGTGTAGGTTCCTCTTTTGATCTGAAGATGAATCCTTTGCAGTAATTTCCCTGATTCAGATGTAATCCTACATGCAAACATTGTGCTAAGACATAAACCTGGATTTACCATTCACAGTGGCAAGATTCATGCAACTTGCTAAGCCAGAACCAGTGTTATTTATGAATTCAGTGAATTGGGGTTATTTCTTATTTGAAAGGAATCCCAGCATACAAAAGAGAGGAAAAATGTGTAAGGGTTTGACCATGGTAAACAATTAGACTGTATTTTGAGCATTGTCTTTTGCTTGCTTTCGATTTTTTTTAGAGCTGAAGCATTCTGAGCCACTTTTGTTTTCTGCTAACACATGTCACAAATCTGGAGGACGGCTAAACTTTAAGATACAGTCTACAGAAGTAGATGTTGGTGGATTGGCCGTAGCTTGCTTGAATGCCTCTCCAGTACATCTCCGAAAAACCTATGTGGACCCAGGAGAGCTGTGGTGAATATGGCTTTGCTTATTATTTCCCAAGGGTGTGACAAGAATGGAAGAATAGGACCTAATTACTAACTAGGTTGCTTTCCTGAGAATTGTACATGAACAAATGTCTCAAAAACATTCATAATCCAACCATGAAGCACAAAGGGGCAATTGAATTTTGGTATTATTAAAAGCTGAAGAGAGGGATAAATAAATGGCTTTGACCTATCTGCTGCAGTGCATTTGGAGACTTTATGGATCACAATGAAACGAGTGGTAGTTATGGTGCTCTGGTGGAACTCTTATAAATCTCTTGAGACTCATTCAAGCAAAAGTACTGGTGTATAACATTCATGCTAACTTGCGAAAGGGCTTCATCATCTGGATTTTCATTTGAATAGCCTCTCTAAAAAACACATCAAAGTCCTCACTGTACAGAGGAAACTCACTGAAGATCAGTCAAGGCAGTTTCCCACAGTATCTCTGTGGACTTAGGTGATGGGAAGATTCAGAAAAGAAAATGGGAAGTTTTGCCAGTTCTCTCAGATTTAAGATCCTAGTTTCCAGGACTTAATAATGCAGCTTGTTGAAAATGGGGGGAGAGGGGAGGCAAGGATTCTGTTATGTAGGGCAATAAGGCTTTATCTTTAGGGTAGGGAATGGTAGAGAAATTGCTTTGATCCTAATTTACAGCTGAGTCCCTTTTTAATATTCTGACTCTGCTTAAGGCAAAGGGTTCTCACCTCTCATCTTTCCCAGTCAGAGGTGGTATTCAGCCATTTTGGACCGGTTCAGATGCACTCTCACATTTTTGGTGCTGGGCAAACTGATAGGTAAATTATGTGAATCCCATCTTTGTTACCAGTCACCTTCTTTCTGGCATTTCAAGCACTTCTGTACTGATCTCAATCTGCTGAAAACTGTTTCTGCTGGCCAATAATGCCAATTCCTCTTAGGTAAAAGAATTGGGAAATGGAAGGAATTGAGGACAGGGTAGTTAAACATGGAGCTGAGCTTAAGCTGTTTCTTTTAGGGAATCATCTAAAATGTGAAAGTTTGTTGTAGAAAGGAGAACTTTCTTATCCACTATACGCATTACTGCAGATAGTAAAACGCTTGAGGCCAGTCCCAGCCGAGGTGGAAGGATTTCATTCTGAAGCCTTGGATGGTTCGCCCAGTATAGAATAAAGTTTCCAGGAATTTCATGAGAGGTTCCAGAACTCTAACTTCATTGTAAGAACTGCAGCCGTGACCATCTTGCATTTTGTTTGTAGGAAGAGGGATCTCTCTCTCAGCGTTGTCCAGCAAAACTACCCTAAACTCCACAATCAAATGCACAATTTGTACATTGTGACAGAAGTTTTGGTGATAACGGAGCCCTTTCTCATTGATGAGACTGTCCAGGCAGGTGGGAAGGGGGAAGTTTCTGCCGTGAACATACTTAAAATCCAGGTATGGTTATCATTTTTGGCTTTTATCTTTTTGCTGTTTCTTGCTTTTTAAATGAACAGGTTAATGGCTAAAAGCATCACAATATCATTCCTTAAGGAGGAGTTGATTGCCGACCAACAGTAGTGGGGTTGCTGATCAAGTATTTTATCTTTTTCATAGGAATAAGCACAAACTAAACCTCTCTGACCAAAACATGAGCTCGGCCCCAGAGCCTCTATAACTGCCATCAATTTATTTGATCATTTAATTTTAAATGTGAGATTAGGGGGGAAATGGTTTATATAAGCAGTAACAGTTAAAATGGGTTGACCTTGAAAAGCTAAGGAAGATTAAGCCTAGATTAGTAGCTGGACAGGAGAGCAGCAGGAATTTCCAGGACTCTAAAAAAAGTAAAAAAAAAAAAAAAATCCAGTGAAAGGCTATAGCAAACCATTTCCACACAGTGGCCAAAGCAAAACAATATAAAACCTATTCCTATATAGATCAATATTAAGCTTCACGTGAGCAAATTTTTTCTAAGAAAAATGTTTAATGCATGGAAAATAGCATATGACTTGATATTGGCTCTTCTGCTTTTAGGAGCATGGTCTTGACATGCTGCTGAAAGACCAAAAATGGCTCCTGGTACTATATGCAGCATTGTGCCACTTAAACACAATCAATACTATGGCAGACTGAAATGTAAGGAATAGGCAAAGGGAAAGCATAAAAATTCACTGCAGAAAGTTTACTACACTTGTGTAACAGTATATTGTTAGCTTTATTTTTCATGTGTGTGCACAGAGTGGGCTTGCAGGAAAGAGAGATTTTGGAAAAGTACATGTCATCATAAGCAGATGCACTGAATAAAGAAAATGTAATGAACATTTATTTCATTTACTGTATTCCAAAGTGAATATAATGAGGTCTGCTGGAAGAGGAGTAGTGTTCATTACTTATGTTTAGATGAAAGGGGTTCCTGACTGGGTATAGCTGTAAATAAGATGGGTTGGGATGCATTCCCATGATCTTTGGCAGAACCCTTTTGTCTCCATTTGGTAACCTTAGGGATACATGTTTCTAGTTAGACAACTTATGACTGATCACTAGAGTGTGGAATCATCCCTGCCTATTTTCTGTGAGATGATGAGAATGCCTATGGATTGCTAGCTTGCTTGCTTCCTTCACAATCTGTGACTTGGTCTATGGTGAGACATTCTTAACATCCTGTGCTCAAATCTCCAGGGTCAGCACAAGACAATGAAAAATAAGTCCATGCTAATTCCTTTTGGTACAGTGATGGCATATGGAGTTGAGAAACTCCAAATCTGTGAAGAAGACCCCGGTGAGTGAAAAAATTGTTTCACTGATTGGTTTGCCATACTAAGGGTCAGGCATCTTTAGGTTCTTTCTAATTTCTTTGCATTTTTGTTTTTCTATAGTTTATCTCAACCAGAGGTTTCAAACAATGTTGGATCACTCACTCACTTATGATGGTATGTTTAATATCTATGCTTTCAAAAAAATGTGTGTATGAAAATTAGAAAAAGCATGATTGTTTGTGGAACAATCTAAGCAAATAAACAAACAAACAAACAAGATAGAGCTGTCAACCAAATATCACACAAGATGAGTTTTAACTGTGAGTAAAAGGTTAAGTTTGCAAAAAATCCTAGACTACAATGTAGTTGATTAGTTTGCAGCTCAATATATGATGTGAAGTCATCCAACACCATTGGCTTATAATTCAGTGACCTGTGTGAACCTAGAAAACTGGGTTAATTCTATGAACCATAGCTAAATTAATTGGATTGACATGTATATGAAGTCTGGCTATGGAGGAAAGAGACAGAAAGGTGTCTGGGTTTCCATATCAACAAAATGCCCCGTTTAGTCACACAAAGGCACTACACTACAGCTTCATAATTACCCAGCAGTCCCCAATTAAAAAGAGACAATGTGCAAGAGTATTTGAAGAATAGGAAAACTATAGTCTTCCACATACAGTAGGTTTCTATAGCTAGCCTAATGAATGAAACTGTTAAGTAATGTCAAAAGGTTTGTACCTGTGTCATCACAAATATGTAAGAGATGAACTTTATATAGAATATTATATTTTATTTTTATCTCTTTCCTCTTGAGACATTAATGGCTCCCCAAATGTTGCTGAACTATAATTCCTAGCATTTCCCATTATTGACCATGCTATAAGGAATTTCTGGGAGTTGTGTTTACCAGCATTTGGAAAATCACAGGTTCTCCAACTAATTTGTGTCTCTTTGTACAGAATAACTAGTAGTATTTTATATGTCTCTGTTGAATTTCCAAATGTTGTGCAATATGGAGACAACCTTCTCCATACATGGGTTGAAGCTTGGAGATTTTTAATCTTTTGTTTCTTGGTCAATAAACATTGAGTAAACAATGTGTCCTAATGTTCCTCTTCCTTCACCTCTTCCAAAGAAGGAATACTTCAGTTTCTTCTTCTGCTTAATTTCAATCTAATATTTATTTTCCTCTTTTCATTTTAGCATTCCAGAGTGAACTGGGATCTTCACTCACAGGCAAGTTATGACTGAATTTTGATTTACTCTTAGGTTTGGTCTCCCCAATAGTGCAGATCTCTGTGATAAGATCAGTAATGTCTCTCCATCAGACATGACAATTAGATAATACACAGAGACCCAACAATATGGGTCACAGCAGTTGTACAAAGTGTTCTGTTTTTTTAAAAAAACTAAAAACTCAATTGAAATGATGCTGCTCATGATCTTAACCAAGCTAATAATCTTTAGCTGTCCAGCAAGTGCAAGATGCGGTTAAGGAAGCGTATGAGCCACTGTTGTACCAGACCCAGCCTTTGAAGAAGAACCTTTTGGAATCCTTTGAGATTTTCCTGCAGAACAGAAATGTTTCCACTGTACGGTCCATGGTATGTTCCCTTTTTTTGGCTGTTTGATGGCTTAGAGCTCTTCACTTGTACTGTAGCATCCTGTGCAAATATGGATTTATTTATTAGACTTGTGCCTTGCCTTTATCATTATTATAAATAACTCAACCAGGTAAATATTTGTAATAATCCTTCCTCCTCCTATTTTTCCACCCTTATCCCTTTGTTCTCCATCTCTTTGCCTTATGTAAGTCATCCCTCCCACCCCTTTCCTAATATTGCAAGCAGATTGCTCCAAGTCACATGTCTTCCAGATGTGCTGGGAGAAGAGGTGTCACAATTCTCAGGTAGTCTGCGAAATATAATTCCAGCACATTTGGAAAACTATTTAGGTCATTTCTCCATGAGCATCTTCCATTCATCCAGCCATTGGGTTAAAATAAAAATAATGAGAAGGAGCTTTACATCAACTAAGGATGGCTGGATGATACTCTGACAATACTTAACATATTTTGGGATGTTGCCCAAGGAGGCCAATATCCCAAGAGCTGCACATGCAGCAGAATGAGGTGGTCATATCTGAAGCAAGTATGTGGTCTGTACTGTTTTTGGGTATGAGTAGGAGACATATTTTTTGAAAATACATCCTTCTGTAGACACAAATCAGCCTCTCTCTAAGGTCAGAAAGAGTTTTCTACAAATAGTAGATTTTTTCATGAATTTCTAGACCCCTTGAGAGCTGTATGCAACAAAATTTCATTTTAATGTATCCCAATTAGTGTACATTCAAAGTGACAATAAAGTTATTCTAAGTCTATGTCTATTGCTAGTTGCAGTTACTAATGTAAAGTAAGCTAAACACAAGCCAGAAAGTACACTTTCACCAAGATTGTGGATCGTATTGCCGCAGAGTGAGGTCTGGCCCCTTTGTTTTTGGCCTTTCGGAATACCCTAAAAACTCCTTTTTAAGTGAATTGATGGTAACTGAGGAAGAATGTTTAATTATTCTCTTATGAAAAGATTGGGTTTTCATTTATAGATTGTGTATATATATATATAATATATATAATATATATATATTTTCTGAGGTTTTCGTGGGTGTTTGTATGTAGGTCTTTGGTTATTCAGATTTTCTCCCGCGTAAAATTGGAAGTGTCTTGGCGATGTTTCGACGAAGTCTCATTTGTCATTTTCAGGCTGGTGTTTTCGGCTTCGTGCTTCTGGGAGCAATGTGTGATCGCAGCTGTTTCTTCCTTTTAACTGCCAGTGGGGGTGTGAACTGATTGGGTGGGAGCTTGGCTGTGTTCTAATTGGTTGGGGGCTTGGCTGTGCTCTGATTGGATGGGGGGTTGGCCGTGCTCTGATTGGATGAGGGTGTGTTCTGTTTGGGTGGGGGCTTGGTTGTGCTCAGGTTAGTCTGAGTTGCAGGGGGATTTGAGCTGGTGAGCTGCGTTGCTGTTGTTATATATATATATATATATATTGCTTACTACCCACAGTTGATTGATTAGGGTGTTATTGACATGAGATAGATAGATGATAGATAGATAGATAGATAGATAGATAGATAGATAGATAGATAGATAAACAGACAGATTAAATAAATAATAACTCCATCAATATAATTATGAATTGGAAAATCAGGTACATAAATAAATCCTGCAAATCAATACTAATCGTGAAACAGGGAGAAAGGATGTAGATAAAAACTCTCCCTTTACTCTTTTTTTTTTTTTAATTTGCAGGACCATTTTTACACAGGGAAGGACAGGACCCCTCTTCGTGCCGTTTGAAGTGGCACAGTCCATTCCATTATCTCAGGTCTTCTCAAGTTCTTTTGCTGCTTTTGTAGATTATTATGTGTGGAATCCTGTCCATATTAACTTCTGCTTGAATATTTAGTCCAAGACTCTATCACCACTACTACCCTTTTGCTCCAACTTCCTGTTTAGGTGCATATCTTTTGCCTGTTTACTCCAAGCCTACTTCTACCCAGATGTAGAAGCATATTCCAAGAACCCTTGACTGCTACATAGCAGGAAATAATTATTTTCAAAATTTGTGAATTTACTCATTTCTTTATTAGATTTATATCCTTTTTTTTGTCTTGGAGCTCAATATACATTGTATACTTCCATCCCTCTAATTCTTTTCCTACAACATCCTCATGAGCAGGACTGAACTAAGACATAGTAACTGGCCCCAAATCAACTAACCCTAACATTTATGGCTGAGGTCAGATCTGAATCACTACATCACTTGGGGGCAACTATACTGTGTTTATTATATAGCAACTCTCTATTTCACCTCTTCCTGACTGACTGCTATACATTTTTTTCCACCAGCTGGAGCTTTCCATGGCAGGTGACAATGTTGATCGCTCCATGTTGGAGTCGTTGAATGAGGAATTCCGCGTTCCAGTAGAAATGCTGCTATCCTATTTAGGGATTTTCCAGGACACTAAAAGAGGAGAAAACCAAGATCTCTGGGGACCAATGCACTTCCTTTGCTCTTCTATAGATGGTACAAGAAACTTATCGTTTGGAAATTTGTACTTATATAGGACTCTATGCCTTCTCAAGCTTGGAAGGTATCTTTTCCAATGTACCCCTTCCTGGGTCAGAATTTAGCAGTTCATTCCCAAACTTCCACAATGAGCAGAATTTATTGTAGAAAGAGATTGTGACTGAAGTGGGGAAAAAGTTGAGAACCCTGGGGAAAGTGGTAGGAGTTAGGCCAAAAAAGAAGTACGGGTACAGCAGGCACAGGCAAACATTCTAGTTGCCAACGTTCTAAAACATGATTTCCATAAAAAAATAAATCATGTTTTGAGGAGACATTTGAATGTTGCTGCTGTATCACTTCTGTAGCACTTCAGGCACAATTTATAGTAATTTGTTTTATCCTAACCAACACTTTAAAAGTTTTCTTTTTGGCAACGTTTCGACAAGCTCTTTAACTTGTCATCATCGGGCCCCTACTTTCTAAACTTCTAAACTGAAAGTAGGGGCTCGATGATGACAAGTTAGAGAGCTTGTCGAAACGTTGCCAAAAAGAAAACTTTTAAAGTGTTGGTAGGATTTTAGCCAGAGTTTCAAAAGTCCTTACAAAGTGTTTTGTTGGGATTTTGGAGGATCTTAAACTGGGATTTTAGCCAGGATTTTAAGCATTTCAACTAACAGACTTTTAATGACGTGGGAAAACACTCGAGATTTTAACTTTTTACATACACACACCCGTGAAAACTTGAGAAGACATATATATATATAAACTTGAATCTGTAATTCAGTAGAATTTGTGTTTTTTAAATGAGAAGTCCAGAAGCTGGAAGAAAGGGATTTTTAACAATTAAATTAAAAATGGAAGAAACACAATTAGCCATACTTTCTTCTTCCCCCAAATTGCATCTGCCAAGCCTGAATTTCAACAAAATCTTTTCAGCCTGCTTCAAAGAGTTGTGTTGTTTCTTTGCCACATTTTTAATCACTGCCATTAGCTAAATATATTTATAAAATGAGCAACAATTTTTAAGCTGGGCACTTATCTATTTGTATTGGGTCTCAAGACAATGCTGTGGATGAATGGATGGATGGATGGATGGATGGATGGATGGATGGATGGATGGATGGATGGATAGAGTCAGGCAGGCAGGCAGGCACAGAAACTACAATCAGTAGCAAAGAAGTAATAAAAGAGGCCTTGAGAAAAAAATTATATTCTGGAGGCAACAAAAAACTGTGAGGGGAAGGGGGAAAATATATCAGGAAGAAGAAAAATGAGTGTAGATAAGTTTCACATGTGACAACATCGTGGTATGAATGATACCTGTCTCTGTTTTTGTATTAATAGAATTAGACTATGAGATGATGCCCCTCTTACAGAAAATGTTGGAAAAGAAACAACTGGCCAAACCAATGGAGATGGTGAGCTCTTACTGTCTTAATTTTTTGCTGTAATCTTTTTCTAACCTGCTGTAATATACAATGCTTTTTCAAACTCATACCAAACATGCACGCCTAAAAAAGCAAGTAGCTAAATCTGATTTTCCTCAGAATTCCATTGAGGTTTTATAAAAGAGTGCATTTAGACAGAGATGTGCCAATTCCTTGGAAGAAATTGATTCTCAGTGAAAAGAGAAATGCTCTATTTGTGAACTAGGCATCCTAGTGGCCTTGTGGTCACCAGAAACCGTTCTGCCGTATGGCGGAATCCCTTTTCAGAACATTGTTTTCATTTATTGTGCTTCTAAGGACCACAGCTCCTGCTGAGAGAGCAATGAGTCAAAGATGTGGCTGGAAGTTATTCAGCTGTGGTGGAGAAGCAAAAACTGGCAGGCAAAAGAAGCTGGTTTCCCCAATTTCTCCAATTCGTTGCATGGAATTCCAAGTAGCAGGTTCTGATCAAGTTATAGGTTATTCTCCATGTCTGGAATGACTTTGAATATTATACTTAGGACTGATTGGATGGTGAAAGTTGGAAGACTTGAAGTTTCTGTGCAGTGGCTTGGGGTTGTTAGCTGGGAGACAGTTTTGAAGGCCAGGAGAAGAAAGAAGCTGATCTTCCTTCAATATAATTAGATGCAAAGCTATGTGAAATAAGCTACCAGGGACAAAGAGGACTAAAGAAGGACTATTTGAGCTCAAGTTCAAAGGAAGCATGAAATGTAGGTTAATCACTCACTCACTCATTTGTTTATTCATTCACTCATTCATTGAATTTAGAAATTGCATGTGTAGATATAAAATATGAAAACATAAAACTCTGCATAAATATCATATTAGGAGGAAAAGTTAAAAAGGCAGGGGGAGATGTTAACTAGTTTCATGGCTGCAGGCACCTCTGTGAGTTCGGAGCAGGACATCAGAGCCACATTTCCAGATATTTCTGAGGCCAGGAGGCTTGGGAGCCTGCCTCATGTCTGGAGGACAGACAGGGCAGGGGCAATGGCAGAGAAAGTTTCCTTCTTGGACCAAAATTCTTTAACTGTTGGGGCTCACAACATACTTTCCCTGCCTGACCCAAGGGGATGGATTGATCTAATGGGGCAAAGACAGTTCTTGGCCCCATACCATGTAGGGCTGTAATGGTTATAACTAACACTTTGAATTGGACCTGAAGCAACTCAGCATCCAATGTAGCTTGCACAGCAGAGATGTTACATGTGCCATCCTTGGGTCATTCAAAATTGCCCATGTGGCCACAATATATACCAGTTCAAGCTTCTGGATACTTTTCAAGGATAGCCCCATATAGATTGCATTGCAACAGTCCAAATGGGAGATGACAAGGGTGTGAGTGACTGACTGAAGAGCTTCCCTATCTAGGAGAGGGCATAACTGCCCAGCATGAAGTTGAGCAAAAGCTCTCCTAGCCATGACTGCCAGCTATTCTTTGAGTAGGAGTTATAAATCCAGGAGAACCCTCAGATTATATATTGGGTTTGTCTGGGACAGTGCAATCCCATTCAGTAATTAGATTATGCCTCCTTTGTTTTTAAATTATGTTTTAAAGTATCATTATGTTGTCAGTTGCAATCAAAAATATTTATTTGGAAAAAGCTGCTGTGTGAGAGATCCAAAACAGGGAGTCTCCATCAGTCTCAGCATTTCTGAGTTGAAATCCTGGACTATAATCATGACTGGCATGGGTGATAATGAGCTGCCTAAATCCAAAATTTAGAACTAGGAGCAGATCTCATGAGTATTGCTGTAGTTTCTATTGACTCTATCTCTGACTTGCCAGTTACTCGCATTTGTAAATTGGTCTTTTCATTTTCTCTGTCTCCCATCCCCTCTTTTTCTTTTCTCTCTCATTTGTTCTCCTGCTTCACTTCAAAAGGTGGAATTCACTTTGGAAAGGATTATTTCTGGTGAAGAAGGTGGCACTTTCACTCTCCCTTCCCATTCCCTGATGGAGGAGGAAGTTGATCTCAACCTCGATATGCTGCAAATCTGCGGGCTGGATTTAGAAATTGGGGAAAATTCCATCACTTGCCAGTGGAATAATGATGCCTGCTCAGAACTGGCTGCTCTGTACTCCAGCTTGTATGCCCTGCAGATCCTAAGTGGATGAAGGAGGAATTAAAACAGATTCTAAAAAGACGATGTTTTTGTGACTGCAAAAGGTCAGCCAGACTGTAAACTAAAACTAATATTTCAAAAAAGTGTTTCAAAACATCTCTTTGGTTTTAGATAGACTGAAATTTCCCATTTCTTATGGGAGAATAATGAGAAGTAAGAAATTGTGGATATTAGCTGCTGAGGAGTTTCCCACCTGATTGCCTACAATTCTCAGTAATTTTCCTATATTATGCTGAATCTATGTGAGTTGTATCCGTAAGGCCAAGGGGCTTGACCAGGTTTGAAGTTAGATTTTAAATTAATTATATTTTGGTTATTGCAAGAGTCTTGGAAAAAACTGAGGAACAACTCTGTGTATTTCTGTATTTCTTTTTTGTAAGTGCACAGAAACATTAATATTTATTCATGTGTTGATTGAGCTATAATTGAAAGTTGTTTTGTTACTTAAACAAGGAATTCTGTTTTTCCTTTGAACCATGAGATTTACAAATAACCAGAATTCATGATTGTTATGTCTATGGAGATTCTCAGTCATCTAGATCATAGTTGTCCCAAAGGTGCTTTTTCAAGAGGCAACTGGATTTTCTGGTTTGTTTTTTTTTAAAGATGTTTTGTTGAGACATTTCAATGAGAATCCAAGAAGCTCTGAAGCTCAAAAAAGCACCTTTGAGACATGATTGTTATGATTGTTAAGGCATCCCATCCCCTATGTCAATGTGCTAGTGGGGTGAGGAGGGCCTTTGCACAACTTCATAACTGTGGAGCACTTGTTCCAGTTCCTAGATCAAGAAGACCTACTCATGGCCACACATGCTCTAGTCATTTCGCAGTTACACTAATGCAATGCACTTTACACAGGGCTACCATTGAAAAGTATTTGCAAACTTTGGGCTGGTGTAAAACACACAGTGTGAGCACTTATGTGTGTTTCTAGTGATACATATGTTATACCTCTGCTTTGCAAGTTGCATTGGTTACCAGTTTGTTTTCAGGTCCAATTCAAGGTGCCTTCATGTTATGGGACAGGGTTATTTAAGGGACTGCCTCTTCCTGATTTTATCTGTCCATGCTAACAAGATCCAAGGGTATATTACAGGTTCTATTACTTAGGGAGTAATTTAGGGGGGGGGGCTTGGGTGGCAACTTCTTCTTTCTACTGTGGAGTCTTCTTTGTACTGAAGTGAGGTTTACCTTGTCTCTATGGAGTTTCTGGAGGCTCCTCAAGACCAGGTTATGCCAGCAGGCCAGGACACTAGTGGTAGATGGAGCAGTGAGATGGTTCCATTATTTTTAACATCCCTTCATCTATTATTCTTTGTTTTAGTTTGGTTTTTATATTTTAATGTATTTATTAGCTATTTTTAGCAATGTTGTATGCTGCCCAGAACTGCTGTCTTGTGAGATGGATAGGTATTTAAATTGAATAAACAAATAAACAAACAAGCAAACAAACAAATCCTTCAATCTATTGTATTTGGTTTCACTAATGTTCATCATTTCACTAATGTTCACTTTTGTGATTGGGCATTTCATTCATTTTATGTGATACAAGCTTGTGATATTCACTCAGCAGATTCTCATATATCATAGGAGGAGGTGATTGTGATGAGAAAAGTAAATAAAATTATTTTACTTCTCAAATGGTATTGACATCCAAATCCTATAACTGGGAGTTGCCATTGTCCAGCAAAGCAGATGTGTTTGGTGTACAAACTAACCAGATTTATTTCTGACTTCATCTACTATATTAATGAACCTCAGATAAAAGGATAGAGCAATATATTTTCTAATTAGCACACTATTAAATTTTTAAAAATCCAATAAAAGCTCAGTTTCAAAGGGTACCAGACCATAATCAGATATTAGGTTCATTGATCATCCTCTTATTATATATCATGGTTTGTTGCAAACCATAGCTTTTGAAGAGCCATAATGACTTCAACACAAAGCACTAAGCTATCAACTAGAATTCTTAAATCACAATGGGTTAGTCTGAACATCAAAAGATTTGAATGTGGTATTCAAATTTTGTTTCCTGGAACCAAAGGGTTCTGTAAGAATCAGCCAGGAGTTCAACATGAAGTTGCCATTTGCATTGTATGAAATTTATTATTACAACATTAATTGAAAATTCTGTTCAAATAAAATATATTACTTTAAATGTATTAATAGATTCCAAAACGATTTTTTTTTTCATTGAGAAGTGTTTTTCTGGTATCTCACCACTAGCTTAGAATTATTTGTGAAGTGAAGGAATTCCTAAATCTTACAATTCTAAGATACAGGTTTTAGGGCAGTAGTGGATTGTCCCCGGTTCACACCGGTTCTATAGAACTAGTAGTAAAACCGGCGGGAGGCTCTGCCCATCGACCCCGACGTCATCAAAACGCTTCTGCACTTGCGCAGAAGAGCACATGCACACGCGGCCACGGTGCAAACCAGTAGTAAAGATAAGTAGAACCCACCCCTGTTCTAGGACCTTCCCTTGAGGCATCACCAAGGCATTCATTTGATTTCACAAATGTCTGAATATCTGAAACTAGCGGTGAACACTTTACCCATCTTCTTTTTGGATGATGATCAGCAGCTGCCTCACAAGTGACCTATGTAATGAGTACAGGTTCAACTGAGAGTAAAATGCTACAATCTGTTTGACTTCCAGACTCAGCATGAAACTTGGAAACAAAAAATAGCACATTCCAGATTGAGAAGATGCTTCAGCAGCATTGCCACTATCTTTTACACTTTTTTTTTTTTTAATTTGATTTATATGCCGCCCTTCTCCGGAGACTCAGGGCGGCTTACAGTGCGTTAAGCAATAGCCTTCATACTTTTGTATATTTATACAAAGTCAGCTTATTGCCCCCACAAACTGGGTCCTCATTTCACCTACCTTAGAAAGGATGGAAGGCTGAGTCAACCTTGAGCCTTGGAGAGATTCGAACCAGCAGTAAATTGCAGGCAGCTGTGTTAATAACAGGGTGCTTTAAACCACTGTAGTACCAAGGCTCTTGTAGTACACTTGTTTGGAAAGTTCTGTCCCTACTTGCAGTTTACTATAAAGACTTCATGCCCTGATCTCTCATGATTGTGAGATAAATAACTATTCATATACTGCTATAAAAGTATTTCTCCCTGTTAAGCTGGTCTAAATTCAGAGTTATATTCTGTAACACTTTGTCAGCCATTACTTGGAAATGAAGTTAGTACTTGTAGACACAATCAGTGGAGTGGTTTTGCAGTGGTGAAGGCATGCCCTATCCCTCCAATCACTAGCAATATCTGTCACAACTTTTTCTCTCCCTCCTTTCCATTTTTTTTAAAAAAATTGATTTATATGCCGCCCTTCTCCGGAGACTCAGGGCGGCTTACAGTGCGTTAAGCAATAGCCTTCATACTTTTGTATATTTTATATAAAGTCAGCTTATTGCCCCCACAAATTGGGTCCTCAATTTGCCTACCTTAGAAAGGATGGAAGGCTGAGTCAACATTGAGCCTGGCAAGATTCAAACTTACTTTAATTGCAGACAGCTGGTGTTAAATTACAGTGCTTTAGTCTGCAGAGCTATCCAGGCTCCATTTTTATTTCGTTCTGGTTCTTGAATTGCTTTAGTACACCCTACTTCATTTTTTGAAATCTTCTTTCCAGATTTCCAATATAGAAGAGAACAAATAACTTTTTCTATTATTAGAGCAGAAAAAAGGAGGCATATTTGCCCAATTTGATGCTAAGAGGACAGTGAAATGAGCAGATATCCATTATTTTAGGTATTAAGAAAAGGAGACATATTTGTGCAGTTCTGTGTCGATGGTATTCTGAAATGGTGATCTGTACATCAAATGTGATTTTTATCTATTACTGAGTGTCCAGACAATAAGAAGAAATTTTAACCCGAGTATTTGTAGCTGTTTGCCATTTTGCTGTATTTGTCAGTTTTAGTCACTTCCCCTCCCTCTCCTTGAAGTAAGATGGTCAACAGTAATCAGATTCAGTTTTCAGTTCTCTAGAATTTATGAGCTGCCCAATTTATTTTCATTATGGTGTCTTCCCATATCTTTATTTTAGAGAAGCCCAAATGGAGTGTGGCAGGAAGGACTAATAAAACTTCAATTTAGAATAACAGAGTTGGAAAGGACCTTGGAAGTCTTCTAGTCCAACCCCCTGCTTAGGCAGGAAACTCTACACCACTTCAGACAAATGGTTATCTAAATAATGATCTCATGGAAGACCAACTGGGAAGTATTATGGCAGTCAAATGTCAGAGACAAAGTTTAGGCAAGAAGAAAAATACTGATTGCTGCTCTGATGAGCAGAAGAAAATGTGATTCCTATTAACTGCTTGGCCTGATCACTCAACCAGGAGGACTCTGCTGATTTATTGGAAAATGGCCTTGGTGTGGCTAGACTTTCACATAGTCAAAAGGAGATTTCTTTGGAAGGGGAGCTGCAGAGTAAGCTCTTGTGTGTATGCAGTGACTTTACCAGTCTCATTCTTATGTATAATAATACAAATGCTGTAAGGACAGTAGTCCTTCAAGGAAACATACTTTGCTTTCATTTTAAAGAAGGTGGAAAGCACATTAATGGGGTCTTCTGTGGGTGTGAGGATATGTGTAGATGGCCCTAACTCTTTGTGGTCTCTGTAGACTTTAATACAGGATAATTAATGTTACTGATACAAAGTATTTTTCCAGAGTAACAACCAGCTGATATATGATTCCAAATTCTCATTTTTGGGAATAGAACATTATACCTTAATCATAATTAAGACATCCAGATATGAGCTGTAATAATCTGCATATCAACTGGATGTTAGCAAAGAGATACAGAGAATTCCAATTCTTTGCTTCTATCTGACAGTCGATCAATTTTTTTCAGGTAGATTAATTCTAATTCAACTGACCTAAGTGAATTTTCCAAAAATATGGAAAAAGATTTAAACATCTATCCTGAATATTGCTAGAGGCAATACTTTTGCCTGAAGATACAATTTTAAAAAATCACAAAAAGATGGCATCACACTTGGCCTTCAAATTGACTAT